TTTGTAGAGACTTTCAGGTTCTTATAAGAGTCAAGTAAATGAATTATTCCAATTCAGATGTTCTTTATATATTATGTGAAAAAAAGAAAAGTAGTGGAGACCAACTTTTTTGCCCATTTTTAAATTTCTCCCCTTCCGCTTGAAATCTAATGAATTTGGAAGCATCACTGTCTCAAAATTTTTGGATTTTTAAAAGTATTTTTTATTAAATATGTTAAATCAAAGTGAATGAACATAGTTGCTGTGGCCTAGGGTGAGTGATTAAGACACTGTGTTCCCGCTTGTCCTTTGAAAGCTGCTGGTGCTGAGCGTGCTGCAAAAGTCTCCACCTGGCAGATGAGGGAAACTGGTTCTTTTAAGGTCGGGTGTTTGTGTTCACAGCCACAGTGCCTGGGTAGTGTTCAGTCCATACATTGTCCTAAACTTGCTTTCTGTGGTGTGATCTGTTAAATTCTGAAATCCTTAATTGCTTCCAGTGCAGATCTGAATAAAGTGCAGGTGGTTGAAGAAAACTGTATCTGGCCTGAGGAGAGGGAGCAGACAGTTGCAGTTCAGAAGAGGTTTAGGTAGGCAGAGTATTGAAGGAAGCTGTATTGGAACACTGTTCCTTTTCCAAAATAGCTTCTACTTGGGTCTGGTGTTTGATGCCTAGGATTAATAATTTGCTGCCTACCTGTATTCTTAGTTTCAGATTCCAGTAATGAAATAATTTTGCAAAGAGAATTTGGCAAGAAAGCCATAGTGCCTGGGAAGAGAAGAACTCTCTTGAATTCTGACTAAAAGTTAGTTAACGCCTTAAAGTTTTATTTCATTTTGATTTTTATAAATTCCAGTGTTTGATTTACTGTCTGACATGGTATTTTCATTCAATATTAGTGAGATGCTTTTAATCTATTAGTACAAACAGGCGATAAGAGGAATTTTCTGCAGCAGTACTTGATAGTGGCCTGTCACATAATGAGAGAAATACTGAAGATCAAACTTGACATGAATAAATATGGGCATTTTCTTCTGCCAGTCTTTTGTCCAGTACTTTCATGGGCTGGATTCTTTTTTCCACTGTTTGCTTAACACTACTAGAAAATGATAGAATATGAATGCAATTCTGAAGGTAGTTGTTTCTTGAGATGCTGGGGTGTACTCTCAATAGAGGCTTTTGTAATAGTGAGGAAAGGCTTGCTTAAATGTTTAAAGTGGTATTTTCCAGCTTTTTGCTGAAGTCTTGTATGTGCTTCTTGAATAAAAAGTATTATGCTCATTTTCTGGAATATGGGCTACTTTAATACTTGAAGGTGTGAGAGAAGAATGACATGTTCAGAGAAGTACAAAATAGTGAGGGACCGTAGACCTTACAAACAAAAAATCTAAGTAATTTCATATTTTAAGCTTCAGCAGTAATAATATTGTGAAGTATCTTGCAAGCCGTTTTTGTGTCTTCTTAAGAAGTACTTTTTAATGTATTGTATGTCATGGTGAAACACTGCCTCTGTTTTAACTGTGTCCCGTTTCTGTTGGGGAAGAGCTGGGCAAAGAACACAGCTATTAAATGGTCACTGTAGTCCTGTTCCAAGTGTTCCTGCTGAAAGATCTGCAAATGTCAAACCTTCAGGTGGCTGCTGCCTTTCTGGTGGTACTGAGCAGGGCAAAGCTGCGGTGCTTTCAGCTCAGCTTTGATGTGTGGAACAGATTGCTTGGTGCTGGAAGTTGGATCAGTTTTGCTGCTATGCAGAGCTGAAGTTTTAGGATATTGTAACTGTACCTTGTGTGTTGCTAGGCCTGGCAAACCTCAAAGTGCTGCTGAAATTAAATAGTTGAGGTTTGATGTGCTGCTTCCAGATGACTGTTGGCTGCATAACTCTTGAAGTTATTCGTGTACGTTTTTATTTGTCTTGTTAGGCTGTGAATTGGAGCCAAGACAAGCTTGCTTTTTTATATTTCCCTTTAGATTGCACAGTAAAATGAGACTATTGCATGTGAAATAGGCAGTCTAGTACAGTTTTTGCAGCCTTCAATTACACTGCTTGGAGAACTTGCTACTAAAATTCTTGTGCTGTAAACAGATTGCATGATAAAAATTAAATATAAGTGCTTGTTATACTGTTTTTTCTTTCCTGTATATGATACTTTAGGCAAATACGTATTTTTGTCTGGTTTGTTATAAATAAAACTTCTTGGAACTCTCTTGCTTGCCATGCTTTGGCCTGCACAAGTACTTGCATCTCTTGCTAGGGGAGAAATCTGTCTCTAAATTGACACTTGCTTAGATGGGGGGCAAGTTTGATAAAAGTTTCTGATCTTGAGCTGGAAGGTTGAGCGTGTGCAGAAGGGCAGGCAAATTAAATTGTAATTGATATAAATATGTCAAACCTTATAGTAGAAAAAATGTTCAAGAACGAGAGAACTTTGTCAAGATAACTCCCTCTTCTCACCAGGTAATCATTCAGGGCTTTCGAAGCTACAGGGACCAAACCATTGTGGACCCATTCAGCTCCAAACACAATGTCATTGGTAAGTTCTGATACTTGTCTTTTATCACTAGTTAAAATTGCACTTTTATATCAGATGATATTCATGTTAGTCTCCTTTATAGTTTTTAACATTTTGGTTACATTTGATGATTATATTTTCTGCTTTGGAAGCTTCTGTGCAGCGGTCTGTAATGTACCACAGGGAGTGTTCCACTTACAGCAAACAACTATTAATGTTCAATTTTGCTGGGACAAGAGCTGAGTCTTCACAAACTGAGTGAGATTCATAAACTCCTTCCTAAGTGCACGTCTCTGTATCAGCCAGACGTCCTTTAAAGGTTGTCCTTGCAGGAGCAGCAGCAGAGAATTTGTATGGGATTCTTATTTTTTTTTTGTATGTGCAAGTGTTGTAATTTTTATAAATAAGCACACCAGAAATTATAAACTCCTGCCGAGAAAGAAGATCGTCTTGCTTCCAATTTTAAAGGAATGAATTTCTGGACTGTAGACTGTCAAAAAGTACAAGTTTTAATGCGCAGTTTCATGAATAATTCCCATTTTAATTGCATGTTGTTGTCCACCATTCTCATACCTCTTTTATTTCTGCATGTGGATGCCTTTTTGTTTTGCATTGATTTTAGTGATTGTGCAGCAACTTTTGAGACTGCTGACCTAAGAGCAAACAGTCAAATTCGGACATAAAATCTTAGTAGCCAGGATTTAACTCTGGCACTAGGAAAAGAACCATGCATATAACATGAATAGATGTCTTGCTTAGTAATGTTATTTCTGCAGGAGCTAAAACTTTATCCAGGTATTAATCTTTTTAAAATACCCTAAAAAAAATCTCTTTTCACTGAGAGTTTTTTCTTTTTTAAAAAACTTCATAGTAATCCCAAGTAGTTTCTGGAATGAGGTGAATCTGGATGCTGTGTAGACAGGCAGGGATGAAAAGTCTGGGATGTTCATTGATGCTGGAAGACAAGTGGGTTTGAAACTTATACAGTAGTATTGATCTTAAAGAGAAGAAACTGGGCCTTCTTGAAGCACTGCAGTATAAACATTGAGATTATATTGGGATAGTGCTGTGTTCTTACACCTTTACTTTTCTATATAGAAGTCTATATTCTAGTCTTTTATGATTAACAAGTGGAGTCTTAAGAAGTTAATGTGCTGCGTGAAGTTCACAGTCAGCATGAACGTGTAGGCAAGTGGTTTCCTCTGGATAAATGCTCTGGAACCAGGAGAATTTTACTTAGGTTTACTTTATGTTCTCATCCATCAGAATATCAGTATAAGAACCAAAAAGATGGCAATAAATAGGATTGGTGTAACTATTCTCATTGTGGAATAGTTTTGGAGTTTGTAAGTCAAGGTAATGTGTTTGGGTGAGCAAAGGGCTACTGTCTTGTACTCAGAGACTAAGTGATCCATCTGCCAAGTTCACATCATTCCCTTGAGTTTTCATTTGGCTGTGTTATATTTGGGTTCTGCTCTCGAATATCTTTGTGTAGTGTTTAAGGTACATTGTGCTGTTGACCTATGTCAACTGTCACTTATGTCATACTTTGTGTTTTAATTTTCAGTGGGAAGAAATGGATCTGGAAAAAGCAACTTCTTTTATGGTAAGAATGGATTTCATGTTAGCTGAGGGATGCTGAAGATACTAGGTTTCTTTGCTTGTTTTTGCTAGAACTTGATTTAACAAATGATCCTCCTCAATAAGGAGTGGCAGATTGAAAATTACTTGACATTAATGAAAGACAGATCTAAATGCACTTGTTTAATTCTTAGTCCAGGTTTTTCCCTAGAATTCAGCTTCTCTTCCTAAAGGCCTTTTAAGGCTTTCAGCTGGCAAAAGTATTCACAGGAGGATACTGATTCTAAAAGTTGCCCTCTTTAAAAGATGATTATGATATTTGCAGTTGTTTTAAACATCCTTAGTGGTTAAATTCTACTAAATGGCAGTTTGGCACAGCTTAGACATTCTTTTAATACAGGGTTATGAGAGGGATTTTGTGGGGTGGAAGCATTAATGGAGGAGCAAAGATGAGGAGGAGCTAATTAAAGGTGTTAGTAGGCTTTGTGACAGTTTTGTTAATAAGTTGTCTAATGCTAAATATTTTAGCAGTATTTTTAGCCTAGCCTGTGTGCTGTGTATATGTAGAAGGAAGCTCATGAATCCCTAATTGTTCAGCATTGTTAATGATTATGCAGTGAGCCAGTAATGTGGCAACAGTCACTTCTTCAGATAAATCCTGTTGTACAGCAGGTTGAGTGATAAGGACCCAGCAGATAAAGGTTTTTAATGAAAAATATTGCAAGACATTAGCAACAGCATGATTGTATTATACAACAGTAAACTAGTGTGTTTTGAGTTAATGAAACTGTTGCATAGCTCCCTGAAGGAGAGAATAAATTTTCTGTTTCTTTACTGTTTTATTACAGCAATTCAGTTTGTCCTCAGTGATGAGTTTAGTCATCTTCGCCCAGAGCAGAGACTGGCTTTGTTGCATGTAAGTGAAGGTGTATAGTAACAAAATTAAAGAATAAGCTAATGCATTTGAATGGTAGAGCAAAATTGTTAAATTACTGCGCTGTGGGTATTTTAAGCTAATTATTTTGAAAGTAACTTATTTATATCCATTGAGCAAAAGGGAATTTATTTCACAGTAATACATTGTGTTGATAATGCACACCAGTGAATGTGTAGCTAAAGATTATCAGAAATAAAAATGTGTGCTGGATCTTATGTAGATGCTCTTGTATCTCAAGACCTTGAAAGGAAAGGGGAAGTGGGATCATCAGGGAAAAGAGAAGAATGAGTTCAAAATCTTTTTTAAGGTGGCAGCTGTCTAACCAAAACATCTCCTTTCTTAGGAAGGTACTGGTCCCCGTGTTATTTCAGCATTTGTGGAGATTATATTTGACAATTCCGACAACAGGTTACCGGTGAGTTCAGTGAACTGCTTTGGACATAATTATCATTTCAGACTCAAGTCTGAATCAAGGTGATCTTAGCCTTATGGAAGGCTTCAGCACGGTACCTAGTTTGGAGTAATTTCTGGTAAAAAGTGCCATAAACTTTCTGGGTTAGTTGCAGCTGCTTGCAGTAAGTATGTGAATTTACTGTTTTTTTTTTTTTTCTTAAGATTGATAAAGAGGAAGTCTCGCTTCGCAGAGTCATTGGAGCCAAGAAGGACCAATATTTCTTAGACAAGAAAATGGTGACGTAGGTACTTCTTTTTCTTATCTGAATGAGAACAGTAAAATTTCTGGAAAATTCTGTAGGCAAACCCAACACTTGCATCCCTAGCATGAAATTATCTATTTCAGTTGTGTAATACTGAGTGCTAGTAGTCTGACAGCTGGAACATCAGTCTTTATGCAATAAACAGACTTTGAATTTGCAGTTTAATCTGTCCATTGATGTGGTGTTTAACTGCTTGCGTAGTATGTCTTTCAGAGTTCTTTTGAAATAGAAGAGTTACCACACTCTGTGGTTTTATATCCTTCCTTGTGATATATTTGCCTATATTTCCCTCCTCTGTGCTTCGAGGTGCTTATTTCTTAATCACTTTACAATTCTATAGTATTTTAGATATTTTCCATTTTTGTTCTCTCATTTTATTTTAGAATTAGCCATTTTCAAATAAAGCTTGTTCAAACAGACCATGATGAACATGCACATGGCAATATAATGTGGTGTACAGCTGTGGTATTTACTGCATTTTTACAACTCTCTGTTTTACTGTAAGTTTTTAACGGATTCATAATAACATTTCAGGAAAAATGATGTCATGAATCTTCTTGAAAGTGCTGGATTTTCTCGCAGTAATCCCTACTATATTGTTAAACAAGGAAAGGTGAGATTTCTTTTTCACAAAGTAGAAGGAATCACTGTCAGGCGTATTGTATTTCCTGGATGCCAAACTTAGTTATTTCAGAAGTAAACCAAAACCTAAATCTACCTCAGTTTGAAATAGTGCTTGTATATAGATACTGCTTTAGCAGATATTATTGTTTTAGTAGTTTATGTTGGCTTTAAGAAAAAAAAATCATATCTGTAAATGTTGATATTTAACAGAGGGCTTTTTATCATGGTGATCTTTGCAATCAGATTTTTTTCCGTATAGTTAAATACAAAGCAAACTTGATTCCTGTGACTATTTCAGTGTAAATTCAAAGATTTCTGGGCCTATAGATGAGGCAGCAAAGTAATGGTAGAGAATTTTCAGAGGTTGAAAATATTGTCAATGGAGAATGAATGGAAAATGCAGATGTACCAAAAGTGAAGACTCATCAGGAAATCGCACAAGATATGGGCTGTGTTAACTGATCTTCAAGACCCAAGCAGCTTTCTAGAGCTTTCAAAGGACACCCATATCCGCAGACAAACCACAGACTACTTGTAATGGCTCACAAGATGGCTCATCAATGAGACTGGGAACTGTCACCTCCAAAGGTTGCTCGAGGGCATACTTGGAGAGGAATGCAGGAAGAGAAGACTTTAGAAGCACTTGATGTTGGGAATGCTAGCCCCTAGTACAGTCTGCCAGATGTTTATCAGAATCAATTTTCCTCTACAGTTGAATGTGTGTATTTGAAAGAAACAGCTTGAGCTGGAAAGTCGCTCATAATGGGGATTGGTGCATGCTACTCAACAGCCAAAATACACATACTGGTTTTAATATAAGACAAATTAGAAACAGTTACCTTCTTAGAAAAGCATGCAGCTGCTGAAATTCTATTGAAGGAAGTGAGTTTTATATTGAGTGTAATTGTAGGACTGATTTGATGTCATATTAATGAGTGTTTCATGATGTGAATTACTTTAAGATTTATAACCCATGCATTTTAGTGTGGTTTTATGGAGGCATTTAAACTATTTGATTTAGCGTCAGGACTTAAAAGCCCAAGCTTGAGTTTCTCTGAACATAATTTTGAGTGGTTTATGATTTCTTCCGTAGACGTAGTACTTGTATTCTGATTTTTAGCAACAAATGGTAACATTTGAAAAGCAACAAATTTCATTACAAGCAGAATACTTGCTGTCCTGAAGTAATTGTCTCAAAAGGAGAGCAGTGTGGTATATGCTATGTATCTGAATCTTCCTGCCAAAACCTCAGGCAAGCAGGCGGAGCAAAAGAGTGCAATCTTTGCTCTGTTGTGGTTAGCCATTCATCCAGAGCAGGTTATTGAAATCATAGATCTTGAATTTTTAGATCAACCAGATGGCCACAGCTCCTGACTCTCAAAGACTGAAGTTACTAAGGGAAGTAGCTGGTACCAGAGTGTACGATGAACGTAAAGAGGAGAGTATTTCACTGATGAAAGAAACAGGTAAAACTTTAAGAAATTATTACTTTATGCCACAGTAATTCAATTAACTAACACTTCAGGCTTTTTCAATAAGACAGATGTTATTTGTGGTATGTTAAACAATGCAGAGCTTGTCCTATTTCTTCCTTAAATTTCCAATATCTCAAAAGGTTTAATAAGTTACTTTCTGTGTGCTTTTAGTAATAAAACCTTTTAGCTAAGCTCATACGGATAAATTTACTGTTCAAAACATATGACTGATGTCAGCTAGCAGTGATCCAAAAATCAGGATACCTACTGCTGTGCAAACACTCAAGTTCATGTTGTACTGTCTGTATTAAGAGTGTGAGCCAAGAGTAAGTGTGTTTGTTGCTTTATGTAACAAGTACCAGCATTTGTGCTGTTGGGATGTTTTTTTGGAGAACTTCTGGACATGGGATGTTTTTACATTTCATGTATGTTGACAAATTATGAATAACTGGAGTAGATTCAGTGGCTGTAGAGATGGGGGATTATATTACAATGTTTAACTGAGTCTCAATCTTGTCATGTTTTCTAAAGAGGGCAAGCGAGAGAAGATCAACGAGTTGTTGAAATACATTGAAGAGCGACTGCATACTCTAGAAGAGGAGAAAGAAGAGCTGGCACAGTACCAGAAATGGGATAAAATGAGGAGAGCATTAGAATACACCATTTATAATCAGGAACTTAATGAAACCCGAGCTAAGCTTGATGAGGTAAAATATCTTGGCTAGTACAAAATGTAATGTACTGTTGGTTTGTTTTTGCTACCATCTCCTTGTGATCCTTGATAGAATCCTGCCAGTGTTAAGGAAACTTCCCAGCCATCCAGCAGCCACTCTGGCAGCCAGAACTGCACCACCTGAGCTAGGACTGAAACACCTTCCCAGCACAGGTGCCTTTCCCAGCTCCCTGCACCACACTCACAGTCAGACCAGGTTTCCCATAGCATAGTCTCAGATGTCTTGATCCTTAAAATAATTTAATCTTGGTGCAATAACTAAATAACAAAGGAACAGCTCAAGCTGGTGCCTCCAGGGAGGAATCCCCAGCAAAGGGATTTTTAGAACTGTTTTTTTATCCCATCACAGTGGAAGCTTGGGATTCCTGCTTTGTCTGAGTGCCACAGGTTCCCCTGCCCTTTATTATGCAAAGCAACATTAATTCTCTTGCCTGTGGCTTCTGCCACCCAGAGCTTAATCTGCAGTTTCGAACTGAACTACCTGCACTATATGTATTCCTCAGGATCACTGTTCTTCACTAAATAAATTATTTTCTTTCTGGAACCACTACTAAAGCACAATCTGGCTACTTAAGCTATTTGTGATATTTTTCATACAGCTTTCTGCTAAACGAGAGACAAGTGGAGAAAAATCGAGGCAGCTGAGAGATGCACAGCAAGATGCTAGAGATAAAATGGAGGTAAAAATACTTTTAAAAGGGCTCTCCAGAGGTGTGTTTTGCTTTGTGGTTTTGGAGATTTTTTTTAGAGGAGGTGGGGAGATTAATATTTAATCTATATTAAATTCTGTTGCATGCTTTCATCCTGTTTGGAAACTTGGGGTTTTTCACACATCTAGTGTATTGTGATCTACAGAATCATGATCTTGTGAGTTTTGATAAACAGTGAAATGTTCATTCAGTCTTTAAGATACTGCATGCTTAAATTTGCATAGGAAATAGAACGTCAAGTTCGAGAACTGAAGACAAAGATTTCTGCAATGAAAGAAGAGAAAGAGCAACTTAGTGCTGAAAGACAGGAGCAGATTAAACAGAGGACTAAATTAGAGCTGAAGGCTAAAGATCTGCAGGATGAATTAGCTGGCAACAGTGAGCAAAGGGTACGTAACACCAGTGAAGGCTTAAAATGTCACTGGCACAAGGCAATGTTCATGTACACTGAAGTTTTGGTTTTAGACTGGAGCCTGTCACTATTTTATAAGGTTTGTTAGATTAGTTTAAATACTAACTTTAAATACTGCTTTGTTTGACTTTCAGAAAAGACTGCTAAAAGAGAGGCAAAAACTTCTTGAGAAAATTGAGGAGAAGCAGAAAGAATTGGCAGAAACAGAGCCAAAATTTAACAGCGTAAAAGAAAAAGAAGAGAGAGGGATTGCTAGGTCTGTGGCATTCTACACGAATTTTATCAATGCTATTCATCTGCAGTTAACAAAAACTTGTACTTGTTGCTTGACAGTGGGGTAGCTCCATGGATTTGGAGATGGTCTGTAAAAAGCTTGCTTTATTGTTGGGGTGGGAAGAGAACCTGGCAAAATGATTTTCTGAGCTTAACCACTTCTTGTGGATGATTTTATTGTTTCTAACATGATCCTTTTCTTTTTGTTACTGATTTGATGCTTGAATTTTAGAGCCTGATTTGACACTTCTTGAAAATTCTAATAGTAATTCTTAATGCTTGCTCTTAATAAAGTCAAGATTTCTTTATAATACAGCATGTCTTTCCCTTCTCAAAACAGACTTGCACAGGCTACACAAGAAAGAACAGATCTTTATGCAAAGCAAGGTCGAGGGAGCCAGTTTACTTCCAAAGAGGAAAGGGATAAGTGGATAAAGAAAGAACTGAAGTCGTTAGATCAAGCTATCAATGACAAGAAGCGGCAGATTGCAGCTATACACAAGGATTTAGAGGATACGGAGGCAAACAAGGAGAAAAACCTGGAACAGTACAGTGTAAGTTTTCAGCTTATTCTCAGTCTTTTTGAGAAAAGCATTAAATACTCAATCTTGGACAGTCGGACTTCAATGCCTTTTTATAAGGAAGATGTGACTTTCTGGTTGGATGTGGTCTCTGAAAAAATGCTTATTGAAAACATCTGCAGATAAACTTTAAATTCCTTTAGCATTGCACTATTTTCACTTTATATGTTGGCTTTGTTTTCTGGTACTTTCCCAAGTGTGTTTGGCCTGAATTATCAGGAAGAGGCTTCTGTCTGCCTTGCTCCTATCTACCTTGAACATAACCATGTCATAGAAAACAATTCATTATGTTCTTATAGAAGTCTGTATTGGTTGTTTTCACTTCTCTCATTTTTCTCAAGCAACAGGATCTTATTGACTATGAAGCAGGCATTGCACCCTTGTACCATGGTTTTAGCTGGTTGGAAGTTACATCCCTAGGCATATTAGAAGCTTAATCTGTTACCTGCATAACTTAGATTTTAATTACCATTCAGAAACAGCTCTTACAGTGCAAATACAGCAAAATAATCCAAATATAGCATTCGTGCTAGGAGCTCCAGCTGTGAAAACTCTGCTTTTATATCGAGAGAACATACAGTGCCAATGCTGATGGTCTTCTTGGTCTCTGTGTAATATACCTACTGAAGTTGAGGGTCAGTCTGACACCATGCAGGACTGTAGTTGTACAAAGATTATAGCATTCTGCTAAAATACTGCTTGATTGGGACCCATACTAGCAAAGTTGTGATTCTCTGAGCTGGCTAATGAAGAAAATAGCATTTACATCTGGCTGACTGCAGTTGTACTGTATGTTGTGCTCAGTGGTAATTCTGTAGAATTGAAGGGGTTGAATTTCTTGTAGATTTTGATTTCTTTCTCTAAACATGTTTTACTTTCCTTTTCCTCCTCAAGAAAGGTTGATTTATGTTTAGGTGAAGAGTTGTATAGCTTTTTGTTCTTCAAAGAGAAGGCATCTTGGGTGAATGTGATTGAGAGCTTGCAGGGTTAATTTGGGACGAGCTGGCTGTGTTTTTAGAGCACAGTTACTCCTTGTACACATATAAATATGTAAACACTATGGAGTGCTAGCCCTGAACTGCTTTGAAAATGGCAGGTGTTAAGTGAGCAAAGGGGGGATGTCTGTGCATTGGCTTAAGCAGCACACTGTTGACAGCAGCTGTCTTGAAAGTCTAGTACTGCTGGAGAGCAGGCTAAGGCTTTTGACTAATAGCAGGTTGACATGGTACACAAGATTAGTTGTACTTATCACAAATGTCATTTCAGACCATGATTGCCCAGAAGTTTTATGTATGTTAGTTACTGTTTTGATTCCAGTTCTTACTGTGACTTACAGGGATCCATTTCACTTTAATGCCCAGAGGCACAGTTGAACTCAGTGCCTGCCTTGCCATCCGTGTGGCACCTACCTCTTGTTACTGCTTCTTTACAAAGCTGATTTTATTCTTAGTGCTTTTGCAGTTTGTTGTAAGCTGGTTAAAATGTAGAGATTTTCTGAATTTTTAGTAGCTCAGTATTGAAGAAAATAAAGACTTTTTTTTTTCTAATACAGAGAGCTGTAGTTTCATACTGTTCTTTTCTTTGTGTTAGAAACTGGACCAGGATCTTAACGAAGTGAAGGCTCGCGTTGAAGAATTGGACAGAAAATACTATGAAGTGAAAAATAAAAAGGATGAGCTACAGAGTGAAAGAAAGTTAGTAATTAATTGAAATATGTCTCAATCTCACTTAATGTGAAGGACCCCAACTGTGTAGTTGTTAACATGGCATGTAGGTATGTTTTTTAAATATGGCCATGTATGAACTTCTGCACTTTGCCTTCCCATTAAATTAGCAGTCTTTAAGAAAATAATAGTAAAACCTTCAGATTGCATTCACACTTAGAAAGTTTAATTGATTTTGCTCTGTAGTTATCTATGGAGAGAAGAGAATGCAGAACAACAAGCTCTTGCCGCAAAGAGGGAGGATCTAGAAAAGAAACAGCAGCTTCTCAGAGCAGCAACAGGAAAGGTAAGATAACCACACTCTTGATAATTCCTTGTGGAATCTCATTCTTAAAGGACGAGTCAGTTTTATATGAAAGATATGATCATTATTTTTAAAATTATGGTCTTTCTGTCATAATTAAGATGGACAAATTCTGGACTGAATTTTTCAAATGTTTAAAACTCTAGAACTACTTGAAAATGAATTTTGTAAGCTCAAGGTAGTTGATGTGGGGAGACTGAGCAGAAATTGAATATTTAAAAAATTTCCTCTAGTGTCTTTTTTATTATAAAAATACCCAAAGAAAACTGAAAAGTGATGGACTCTTCTTTACGTGTCTTCTCTTAGAGCTGTAGGTTAGTTAACAAAATTTGGCAAAAAAGGAGGTTACACATGTCACAAAGTTAAAGCTAGAATGAATATTATGCCCATAACTGCAATATAGTAATTAGCTATATTTTACCAGGCCATTTTGAATGGTATAGACAGCATAAACAAAGTTTTGGAGCACTTCCGTCGAAAAGGCATAAACCAGCACGTTCTAAATGGCTACCATGGAATCGTGATGAATAACTTTGAATGTGAACCAGCATTCTACACCTGTGTTGAAGTCACTGCAGGGAACAGGTAATTATGTGCTACTTAGTGCAGTGTCACAATCCAGTTGTTGTTGTTGTAAGCTGCTACTGAAATTTTATTCTTTTGAACTTGGAGTCTTGCCTTTTTTTTTGTCGAAGTGCATTCTATATAGCATGATCAAATTGCTATTCCTTTGTGAAGGAACTGAGAAGAATTCTGCTTATTTAAATATTAATCCTAGCTGCTCCTGACCTTGTCTAAAAAAACCTAAAACAAAACCAGAGAGGAAAAAAAAAAAGAAAACAACAACAAAATGGCCCCAGACCATGCTCGTGACACTTGCCAGGGGGATTGGTGGTGAGATTGAATAAAATGGACAGTGTCTTCCAGTGTGGAGAATTCTACAGTAAGAAAGGCTGATTTTTCAATAATAGTAAGAATTATTTCACTAGCACTAGAAAATCTCATGGTTGAGAATGGTCTCTGAACTGTCAAAAACTGCTGTTTAAAAGTTATCTGAAAAGATGTTGAGCGTTAATGAGTCTGTGTAAAATGTTCTCTAGGAGAAGTAAATGCCTGTTGGGTGATCCACCACTTGCTGCAACATCTGACACTTCAAATTAATTTAAATCATCTTTTTGTGTGATTAGTCCCTGTTCCAATTTATGAGTAGTCAAAAGTTCTTGTTCTAATGAAGTGTAGATAGTGGCATAAGAGCAGGAAAGAGGACAGAGGTGGCAGGATCTTGCAAAGTGTCACATATAAATATTGATGCTACTACGATTAGAAATGCAGTCTCCTCTAAAACTTGTATCAGTGTGAACAAGCTGTCTCTTCCCAGCACTTCACAGTACTCTCTGAATCCTGTTGTGCCCCATAGTTTGGAAAAAGCTGTAACAAGCAAGCTGTAGTTCAACTTGCAAAGTAAAAATGGCTGATTTCAGCCCCTCTGGTGCCAGTCCTCATAGTGCACAGGGAGATGGGTGGATGTGGTCTCTGTGTATAGTGTATAGAGGCAGCAGAGACAAACTCTGGAGATGCATGCAGAGAGGGAGCCTGAATGTTGTGTAATGGAAATACATGACAGATGTGGACACAGTTCATGTATTGAGCTGCTCCTGGCTGGACGGTGGAATGTAAACGTGTTGGCTAATCCTATTTTAACCGAAGTGAAAGGTGTATCCACTTGCTTTTTCTAAGCCATGAAATTGGAAATGCAATGCAGCTTTAGTGATGTGTTATTTAATGGTATCTGCATGAATACTGTCTGTATACAAATGTTTGTCCTTTTAGCATAGCTAAGTTTTGCCTATTTGTTTGGCTTGTTAAACAGGTTGTTTTATCACATTGTGGATTCTGATGAGGTCAGTACAAAGATCCTAATGGAATTTAACAAAATGAACCTTCCTGGAGAAGTTACTTTCCTCCCTCTGAACAAGCTGGATGTTAGAGATACTGCTTATCCTGAGACTAATGTGAGTTAGAATTACTTTTGAACCTACCTCTGCTTCATAACTACAAGACCTCATGTTTTGAGCTGTGTACATTGCTTATTGCCCACCACTTGTTTTTCTGTTTGTCTGCGCTTAAATACTGCTTCTGATCTATGCTTCTGAACATAAAAAAAACTATTAGAGAAAAACACTTTCCTACAAAGTATCTGCTCTTTATTAACTGCACTTTACAAGTAAAAAGACAATACTAATAAGTAGAGTTTTATTGTAACCTGATACCCAAGAATTACTTTAATTGCTGAATTGTAATTCTGTCACTTCAGGATGCTATTCCTATGATCAGTAAACTGAGGTACAATCCAAGATTTGATAAGGCTTTCAAACATGTTTTTGGGAAGACTTTAATTTGTCGTAGCATGGAAGTGTCTACCCAGCTGGCCAGAGCTTTCACAATGGATTGTATCACTCTGGAAGGTAAATTCTGCAATTTTATAAGTTACTTATTGTAAAAATAGGATTTCTGGGAACATGGGGCTCGTAAACATGGTCTGTTTAGTGTTGTCGAAATAAGATTATTAAAAATAACAGTGTACTTGACTGAGATGTATGTACAGTGTTGCACTTGGTTAAGTACAGTGCTTAAAAATACAGGATTTCTTGACAAGGTATGGAGTTTTTTTATGATCTAAATGTTAGTAGCAATGTATCTCCATCTTGAGAATAACAAAGCAAACTAGGTTTGCATTCATCCAATTTTTTAACCAATTTAACAGGCATTTGTTTTCCTGCAGTGTTTATGTTGTTTCCCCCAAGCTCAAACCAGTGTTTAGGGTGTGAATGAATGGCCTTAATTCATTATAAAGACAATGTGAACAGATTCTGTGCAACAGATATGTTTACACTTTATGTTCTCTGAAATAACCTGTATCTCTTGTTAATTGCCTGTTTTAAAGAGGGCAGATTCCCTGCAAGCTTATTGTTGTCTTTTTCTGTCTTAAAGTCAATCTTAAAACTTTCTAAGGATGTCTGAAGGGGAAATTATTAATCTTTCAGTATCAGCATATTCTACAAGCCACAGATGATGCTAATTACTTCATCTCTTTATTTACTTATAGAAGACTTGAGATTTTTTTTCAAATTGGTAGTGCTGGGCATTTGCATTTTCCCCTTAATATAAGTTTGGTTTTTTTTCCTTCAAGCCGCATGGTTTCAGAAGTTAATTAAAAACAAACAAAATAAGCCAATGTTTAAAGAAGATCCTAGCAGTGTGTGATGATCTTGAGAAAGGGAATAGCAATTAAATTGAATACAGAAATAAATATTTTCCTAATTACTGTAAACATACATGATTGCTGATATATTCAGTGCTCTTGTAGCTTAGTTAAAATTTCTGATTAACCTGCTTAGTTGCACTGTAGAAACTGTGCTGGACTTCATGGCAAGCATGTAGTGTGCAGTTTATATCTCATTCTGTTCTGCTCTTAGGTGATCAAGTCAGCCATCGAGGTGCTTTGACTGGAGGTTATTATGACACCAGGAAGTCTCGGCTTGAGTTGCAAAAAGACGTTAGAAAAGCAGAAGAAGAACTTGGTGAACTCGAAGCAAAGCTCAATGAAAACTTACGTAGAAACATTGAAAATATCCTTTTGTTGTTAATGGGGAAGGTTGTGTGATGACAAAGCTTTTGTTTTGTGGTTGCAGTAATAGATAGAAAGCGGGAGACTGACTTGTTACATATTAGCTGTGATATTTGTTTTGACTGGTTTGTGTGCAGCCTAGTTCTGTGTGTTACTGTATTTGATACTGATCTTTAAAGCTTAGAGGTGAGGTTAAACTCTAGATTATGAGGCTTTCTATTCCTTTTAGAGTCTGTTGTAGTAACTGCTATAACCAGATATTCTCGTTATCTGTGTTAATCTTCACTGCTTCTTCTGACTCAGGCTATATTTTTAGTACTTGTGTCCTGAACTGATGTGCTACACAGTCCACTTAGGCTGTGGAAGGGAGGTGGGAGAGCGTTGTGTTGTAATAAGCTCTGAGTTGCTTGACAGTTTGGTCTTTCCAGTCTCTTTGCACAATGTCCTTTTGAGATCCAGTATCTACAGTTTAGGGGTAAGGGAGGTTTATATGTTTTTCTTATATATCACCCATGTCATTCTGTCCTTCAAACTGAACTCCTTTGCTTTTGACTTGCATCAGTGCATTAGAGACATCTGTTCTGTATTTTGTAACATCTGAGATTTCCTTGCGTGTTCAAATGTATCTCTGTGTTCCTTCTCAATGTCATGTTGTAAAATAAGCAAGGAAAGCTTCATTTAGCTTAGTTCCTGGCACTCGTAAGTTACATCATAAATTGAAAAGCTGCTTGAGTTATTTTTGTTGATGATTCCTAATTTTTCCTCTACAAGTGGTTATTACGATTTGGTGGAGTTTTGGTTTATTTCCTATTTTGATGAAAGATGAATGTCAAATAGAAAAAGTTGAAGGTACTAGAAGGAATAAAATGGTTTTTAAAACAAGGAAAGAATTTTCCTTAGCCCACAGTATGGATTAATAATGAGATTGACCAGCTAATGAACCAAATGCAGCAAATTGAAACACAGCAGAGAAAGTTCAAGGCCTCTCGAGACAGTATTTTGTCAGAGATGAAAATGCTGAAGGAGAAAAGGCAGCAGTCTGAAAAGACATTTATGCCTAAGGTTGGTATGGGGATATTGAAAGCTGTTACTTGGCTTATTTTAATTCTTTCATTAATGTTACTGATAAACTTGCATTCCTTTCTAGTTAACATCATAGTACTGAAATATGAAGAGAGAACTAGAAACTAGAGATGTCACAAAAATATGTTGATATGAACAGTTGAAATTAATTTAAATCCACAGATTGCTTTGAGGAGTGATTCTGTCTACTATCTTTCCCACAGCAACGTAGCTTGCAGAGCCTGGAGGCAAGTTTACATGCTATGGAGTCAACTAGAGAATCATTAAAAGCAGAACTGGGGACAGATTTGTTGTCTCAGCTCAGCCTTGAAGATCAGAAACGTGTGGATGCTCTTAATGATGAAATTCGACAACTACAGCAAGTAAGGAAATGAAAGTATCTTGCCATTAAATGTGGTACTTTTCTTAGCAGTAAACTTTTGTCCTTTTGTATGAAAAGTCACTTATGAATGTAGTGTCACTAAATTAGTGCTTCATCACTAGTAGGTATGTGTGTTTAAAGTTCTATCATTTGCAAAGGGTATTTGCAAGTTTTTCTCAAACACTGGGTGAATGTTGCCAGTTGATTGTGTGAGAATTAAGGTTATTTGTGTTGGAATCATCACAATTTTCTTGCTCTTGCTATTGACATTCCAACAATAAATACAAATAGATATCACCTGAAGGAAGGATGCACAGTATGAGAAAGGAAAAACAATTACTGTAAGTGTGTGGTAGGTGAGACAAAACTAAGCTTTTGATTGACACACATGCTGCTGGAAAAATGCTACTACTTAAATATACTCTGTAAAGCATTTCTGGCTATAAGAATTGGGTTCAGATATGAATAAAGATTAATAAACTCACTGATCTGTACAGTTGACTTTTGCACTAGATACCTTTTAATTTGTTTTCTTCTGTCATTTAAAATTACAGGAACAGTCCAGAGAATTGTGATATTTTAGTGCACAGAATTGTATGAAGAGGTTTTTTGTTGTTGTTGCTGTTGTATTAATTTTTTTAATAACAAGGGAAAAATAGTCCTAGTTAGGTAAGGCAACTAATATACTTCTCTACGTTTTTCAGGAAAACAGACAGCTTTTGAATGAGAGGATTAAATTGGAAGGCATTATCACAAGAGTTGAAACATATCTCAATGAGAATCTGAGAAAACGCTTAGACCAAGTGGAACAAGTAAGGATTTTCTTTTAATTGTACTTTCGCAGTCTGGGTTTGGTTTATTTCTAAGGGCAACACGTATTAAATCATAAATACTCACATGTTACACTGCATTATCTATGGTGGGGTTTGCTTCCCGATGTATAAATTGAGTTTAATGTTCATTTGAATTTCAGCACAGGAAGTTTTTGACAAAAACTACTGTGAATACACAGTCTGTGTATCAGTAGGACTATCATGATGACAGATTTGTTTGAAAATCTAATTATTCTCTAGAGCTTCATCAAAATATTGAATAGAATATGTATATAATAGTAATATGAAGTTATATGTAGAGTAGCAGAAGACATCTTGTTTGTCTGGCTTATGTTCCTATTCATGCTGTAGCTTGGTGGCATTTATTTATCCCATAGGAACTGAATGAGCTTCGAGAAACAGAAGGTGGCACAGTTCTTACTGCCACAACATCAGAACTTGAGGCTATCAACAAACGAGTGAAGGATACACTGGCACGGTCAGATGGTTGGTAACATCATGTTTTGGGAAGAAAACTCTCCAGGGTTTTGAAAGTTCACATATACCATATTTGATTTAGAAATATACCATAATGTAATTAACTCGTGTTGGTGGTAATGGGCTTCTGGCTTGAGGGCATACTACTTGTGAGGCAATTCTCCTACAAGCAAGATCTTGTATAATTGTTTCTGAATTTTGTCTAACCCCTTTAAAATTCAACTACTGTCAAATAGGCTATCACATCTGTTTGGCTTGAAACTTCTTTTCTTTTTCTAGACTTGAACAATATGAGTGTAGTACATTTTGTTTTTTAAGCTGTATACTCATGGAGAAGAAAAGAGAGGGATTTTCAGACTTTTGCCTGGAATTTAACCTTCTGTTCCTTGATAGATCTTCTTTAGTCTATCTTTTAGTTTCATAAATACTTTATTGGATAATTGCTGATCTTAAGCAGGCATGTAAAACTTAGAGCTTTGGGTTTTGTACTCTTGCTCAATATTGCAGATCTGGATAACTCTATTGACAAAACAGAAGCAGGAATTAAAGAACTTCAGAAAAGCATGGAACGCTGGAAGAACATGGAAAAGGAGCATATGGATGCCATTAACCATGATACAAAAGAACTTGAAAAAATGACAAACAGGCAAGGCATGCTCCTCAAGAAGAAAGAGGAGTGCATGAAGAAAATACGAGAGTTAGGTTCACTTCCACAGGAGGCTTTTGAAAAGTATCAGACTTTAAGTTTAAAGCAGGTAAATAGTGTGCTTGGATTCCTGTTTTATGACCTGAAACATTAGTGTCACCTGCATCTTGAGTGTCAGATATGGCTAGACTTGAAAGTCACTTTGTGTTAATGTTTTCCGTTTACAGTTATTCCGCAAGCTGGAGCAGTGCAATACTGAACTGAAGAAATACAGTCATGTTAATAAAAAAGCTTTAGATCAGTTTGTGAATTTCTCAGAGCAGAAGGAAAAACTGATAAAAAGACAAGAGGAATTGGACAGGGGCTACAAATCCATCATGGAGCTGATGAATGTCCTTGAGCTCAGGAAATATGAGGCTATTCAGCTAACTTTCAAACAGGTAACAAAACGGGAACAATTGTAAAGACTGGTTCTGCAATCAGTCAAGTTGTCCCATGGTGTAGCAGCAATATGAGAAGAAGAGGATACTAAATAAATCTGTACTAATAGAAGGCAGTGTCATGTAACCTGAGGCTTGTGGGTTTTTTAAATACTGAAAAATAAATAAGACTACCATTTTCAATACGTGCTCATTTCCTATACAACTCTAGCTTTGCTTAAATTTCTTAAAGTAGTTCCTATCAAGTGAGTTCCTATGTACTATAGTTCCTTTCTGGGAACTGTGGCAAAAAACTGCACCAAATCCATTCTCCAGATTTAGTGAAAGTAATTTTAATCTTAACTACAAAATGTGTGAATTGTTCTCTTTAAAGATTTTTGCTTAACTGAAGGTTACTGAGTAAATCGTATTTTTGCTATAGTTCTATGTTTTAATTGTACTATTTTCTAGAAAAAAATGTTGAAAATTCTCATACTACAAAACCAGTTGATTTGGCTCTTGTTTTAAGCCAAGCTTTGTACAGCATACGTTTCTCACTTCTGCTTAAGAGTGTGGATCTCTTCTTTGAAGCAGATGCTTTTTATCTTCATTCAAAAACACTTGTCTGCATCTGATTTCCCTCCATAAAAATGAGTAGGTTTATTGACTGTTTCTTTTTCAGGTGTCAAAAAATTTCAGTGAAGTATTCCAAAAGTTAGTACCTGGTGGGAAGGCCACATTAGTGATGAAGAAAGGAGATGTGGAGGGCAGTCAGTCCCAGGATGAAGGTGAAGGCAGCACTGAGAGCGAAAGGGGATCTGGATCTCAGAGCAGTGTTCCATCTGTAGATCAGTTCACTGGAGTTGGCATAAGGGTAAAGAAAAATACTTGTTTTTTAGTCCTTTGAATGTTTGTTTAGGTTGTCTTTTAACTGTATTTTTAAAAGGCAGCATTTAGTTGATCCTGTTTCTCTAATATGCTGTGGTTTAGTGTTCTGAAATCATCTTGCTGTTGCATTGTTTTCTTAGGTATCATTCACAGGGAAGCAGGGTGAAATGAGAGAAATGCAGCAACTTTCAGGTGGACAGAAATCTTTAGTGGCCCTGGCTCTAATATTTGCCATCCAGAAATGTGATCCAGCTCCGTTTTATTTGTTTGATGAAATTGACCAAGCCTTGGATGCTCAGCACAGAAAAGCTGTGTCAGGTAAACTTGTCTTCTTTTTATAATCTTTACTGTGGTTGAAGTTAATAGTTTGTCTTCTCATCCCTGATGTTTAAGAATAAGGCTTTTAATCATAAAAGCACATTTTTGAGAAGCCCAGTGTGTGTTTGGGGAAGTTTTCATGGACTTGGTTTTATGTAGAAGCTCTGTTCTGTTACTGCATCTAAAGGGTCTCCTTACTGCACTTCAGTGTGTTGAAAAACAGTCCCGTTTTAGTCTAGTTCCATTTTAAAAACTAATGGAAAAGTGCTTGCACTGTTTTTTGTCACAGAAGTTTAATACCATACTAGGTTTGCTGAGTGGCTGGACTTGTCACATACTGTTCATACTGGAATTAATGAGACTATTTGTATGTATTATGTGGAAAATAAAACTGGTATAGATATTTTCTTGATTTGTGGGGGTTTTGCTTCATTAACCGAAGTCTCATTTTGAATAAGGCAAAGAGTTTGCTATTCTTGTCTGTCCTACTTCATTGAAAATATTACATTAATAAAGAATTTTTGTGTTCTTTTTTTAGATATGATTATGGAACTAGCTGAACATGCTCAGTTTATTACAACAACTTTTAGGCCGGAACTGCTGGAGTCAGCTGACAAGTTCTATGGTGTAAAATTCAGAAACAAGGTAAGTAGTATGATAGGCTTCTTGGTAAACACCATAATTAAGATAAGTTGTGCATTTGAGACTTAGCAAGAGTTCAGAGTGAATCAGACTCATTTCAGCTGATAAATTTCTAGTCATGTCACAGTCTTCTATAAAGAGTTCTCTCGTTCTTGAAAAATAACTTAAATACCTGCAGATATCCCATGTCACATTCTTTAAGGGGAATTATAAATCGATCATAGGCCTGTTACTGAGTCCTGGAGCTTCAGAAATGTCTGTCTTATTCTGTAGGAGGTACTGTAATAATGGAATGCTTCTTTGTTCCACCAGGTCAGTCATATTGATGTGATCACAGCAGAAATGGCCAAAGACTTTGTAGAAGATGACACCACACATGGTTAAAGGAGCTTGTAATTACTGCTTTTTTTGAAGATGTGTATAGTGCTGTTTATGCCAGGGACCTGTACATTTAAAATATGAAGTATTTAGTCCTTGTTTAATATAGTTTTTGAACACACATTTTAACCAAGACCTCAGAAGTCTGAGTTTCAAATGAGGTTGAGTATCCATTTTGTCTCTGTTGCTGTATTTTATAAGATGATTGTTAATGTTACCTTTATACAATACCTGTAGTTTGGAAATTTTATTCTCTTCCTTCAAATCTTTTGTAAAGTGTTTGTTGCTGTTCTAAAGCTTTTCAGAAAGTGCTAGCTATTTCTTCTTAAGTATAGTTTTATCATTTATATTGCCTCACATGTTTTTTTTTTAAATGGCTTCAATTAAAATGGTTGGTTTTATGGCTGTAACTTGTATATATTAAGTTTTTGGGTTATATTGTCTTTCTGAAGAGGAATCCACTGAGATGGAGTAAACACTTTGGTCATATTGGAGTGGCATATTTCAGAATATGAGACAAAGCAATTCTCCTAAACCTTCTTTTTTCCGTCTTCTGCACATTGCCAGTGCCAGAAGAAAACTGCCCCAAATATATGCTTGTCCAAATCCATAGTGTTCTGGTTATTGAACTGAAAAAAGGTAAGTATCAGAGAATCCTGAAAAGTCTGAAAAGACCCTAAAACCATGTCAAAACAAATCACAGCCCCTTCTTTCTCCTGCACATTGTCCTGTGTAACAACTCCTCCACTACATCCCTTCAGCTTGAAAGACCAGCAAAACTTGAGCCAAGTGACAGTCCCCAGTCCAGTTCCTGCTGTCTGGGGTTTTGACAAAGGGATATTGAATAGTTTGATGTGTTCTCCTGGAACACTTAAGGATTTACCACAAACCATGAATTTCATAAGTAGCAAAGCCATTGTAAAAAGAGAATCAATTGATGTTAAAATAGTACATTTATAAAAATATCATAACCTTAAAGAATACCTTATGTTACTTTCAGTAGTACAGTGAGAAACAGTGAATTTTTATATTGCATTTATTCTGTGTAGGGCACGTTCAACAAAGCAGAATAAAGCTCTCTGATAGATTCTGATCTGCACACACCTGCTCCCCGGTGAGAACTTCAGGAAGTGCAGGAAAGGAGGGTATGAACTGATGGCTGGGCTTAGGAGTGCTTATCCTTGGATCACAAGGCAGGATGAGAGAAGAGTACTGAAGCTGATATGGAGCAACTTCCCCAGGTAGTGATAGACATGTGGGAAATTACTATCTGCAGTAAGTCTTAAGCCTGGAGGAGGAGGCTGTCGTGACATAAAGCTTTCTATAGTTTCAGGGACTCACTAGCTGCAGAGAAGACTTCTCTCAGTGAGGAGAGAAGTACAAAACGTGACACTGTCCCAAATGCCCCCAACATTTCTAGCATGGAAATAGACTATATTTGAGAACCCTGAAGTATTTGAAATGTGTCCTCTTCATACGGACCTCTGAATATGCACTTAGGGTGGCTGCTGCTGGCCACAGTGTTCCTGAATTACTAGCAGGTGCAGCCAGTGAGTTCAGAGAAGGACCCAAAGAATGCAGCCACAGGTGAACACATCACGTTACTGATTTGGTGCTGTTTGCTCCAGTGTGTGCAAGGACACACTTGAGGTGTCTGTAATCCCTGACTGCCAGATACATAACTCGTTGTGGTAGTATGCTCTGCTCTCAGCTAACTCATTAGGCTTGATCATGCTAGGATATCATCATGATAGTTGTTAGCTTGAATTCTGGAAAAGGGAAGTTCACAGGCCATGAAGCTAATTACTGTGCTTTTTAAGAAGTGTCATGCTAAATCCATCTAAGACTGATCATAAATTTTATCACATAATCTCATTAAAGTGGAAGTAGATTAGAGCAAGGGGTTTTGTTTTGGTGATTTTTTTTTCTACAATGTTCAGCATAGTGAAGCCTAAATACAGCTGAATAACTTGAACATCTTCAGCTATGTTAGGAAATCTCTGCGTTGAGTGTAGCTTTAAGTTGGGTTAAGAAAAAGCACAGTAGGAAAATGGGTAACCAGTAATCAGGTGGAAACAACTGACTGTTACGTTGGTAACAGCACAGAGGAAGAGTAGGCAGGCCTTTAGCTATCATTCAGTTTCTCATCTGCTGAAGAATTAGGTTTAGAACTACTGGCACAAAATTTGGGAGTTTTATCAAGACTTCCACAAATCTCTCTTCAAGGTAAGTTTAGAGGGGGGTGGTGTTTTTTTGTTTAATTGCTGCTAAACTTCATTCTGTCCTTGAAAAGGCGTTTTTAGAGAGGCTACTTTCTAGGTTGACACTTGGTTGCCCTGTGAGTTTACTCCTTCCTACATGCTCCTCCTCAACTGTGCTGACTCTGTTGTGTAGCCACTGTGAAAAATCATAATGGCACCAGTTGTTTCATCTGGTGTACTGAATGTGTTGCAGTAAAGTTGGTACACATGGGACTGGAATGGGAAAGGCTGAAATAACAGCACCTCATCAAGATGTCAAAGTGCTATGAGTGCCCTGCAGTGAGCCTGGGTTGCTAAATCAGAAGCTACAGTTAGAATTAAAGAGGGCCTCAAACCAGGATGAAGTCAGGCAGATGATGAAGCAAAATCCATACCAGTCCACTGTGCTGAAAAATTATTTGCATGGGAGAGAACTGAATGAAAGTAGGAAAAGTAGAACCTCATTTGTTGCTGAATTTTTTTAAGGAAAGTATTTTACAAAGATGAAAGTATTGGTGTGAAAAAAATACCAGTACTTATAACCTAAAGGAGATTTTTTTTTCCTAGTCTGTTGTTAAGGTCAGGAGTAGCAGAGAAGTTTTCCTTGCTGTTTGCTTCAGATTGCTACAGAATGCAGTAATTGGAGTAGTGTTTCCAAGGTAGATGGTCTTGTGTTCTCTTTCTGATATTTCATATCTGCTCCGTACAACATCAGGATTTACAAGTTGCCTTTTCAGTCTGTCTGTTCTTTAAATTCTTCCTAGAGTCTTAAAAGTAAGCTTTGTTGAGAGTTACTGAACCCTTGAGTTTTTTAGTGTCCTGGTTTTTCTACCTAATTTTTAAGGCAGAATTCAGTGAAACTACACACTTGCTTTGAAATGTAGGACATCCCAGAAATTGTAGATATCCAGAGTGCCACTGGTCTCACCAATATAGGTGTTCAGTTGTTCTTTTTCTTAATTACCAGTATGCGAAACTTAACACCTGAGTCACTGATCACTTCTAATATCTTAGGATAGTTTTCATCTCTAGCAAACATTCTTCAAGTACTTTGTAAGATTAACACCTTTGAGGTTCATATTTTTAAGCTTATCTAAATGTTACCATATGTAGTTTGTAACTTTGAGCAGGAGATGGAGCCAAACTGGACTAAATGCAAAATGGAAGTTTGCTTTATTGTTAAAGTTGAGGATTAAATTAAAGCTTTTCTATGAGGTTTTTTGGAGTTCCAGAGACTCTTACAGTTGTTGTGAGGATCCTGAACAAATGGAGAAATACTAGTTATAGATAGTTTTACATGGATGTGAATGTAAGTAAATGGAAATAATTCACAGTTTTTGCTTAAAAAAACTTATAAAAGCCTTTAAGATTTTAATAATTTACTAAAATGTTCTTATTGGGTAGAACTTTGCCAATATAGAAAAATGTATAAAGAAATTTATGTAAAAATAAACATTGTTCAAATAAAGTAAAAAATGGAAAAAAAAATCACAAAGGTACATTATTCTGGTTCCTCTATGAGAAATTACTAATAATTCTTCCTAGTGAATGAGATCCTGTTCTCTTTGTGCAGATGAACTTGTAGATGTGGGAGTTGATAATTCCCAAGGCAGTGATGATCCGGGGGGTGGGCTGCTCCTGTTAAAGTTCTTCTGTCAAATTGGAGGTATGAAGTGAGTTACCCTGAGTGTTGAAGTCAGTAACTGCTGGGATCTTCTCAGCTGCTCCTATTTGAGTGTATTTTTCCATAGGCACACAAGAGCACTGCCAAAGAACAGCTGCTCTTTGCTTGGAGCACCAGGTTCTGATGGATAACAGTTCTTCATCTGGGGGGAAATAGCTGCTGATTTTGCAAGCTGAGAGTCTTCAGACATTGATCCTTATTTCCAGCATCTGCTTCCTTTCTTCCTTGGACACAATGGATGCTTTTAGTGTCCCTAATAGCCAATAAAAGCATTCCCAGTAACAAAATGAAAATCTTCTCATATGTGTGCTAAAGTTCACTTCACCAGTGATAGCATTTTAACTTCCAGGAGGGAAATTTGCAAGAGGAAATTTGGTTTTACAGAAAAGCAAATATGTAGCCACTTCCTTCTACTGCAATTATAAATGTATTAGGGGACTATTTTAGTTGGAAGTATTTCTCACCTCAGTCCTGGCATTGCATCCCTCTTCTCCCTCTTACAGTCAGCTGAAGTGTAGAGGGAAGCCAGTTAGGCTGAGATCCCTATTTCTAGTTAGTCTGTTTTTCTCTTCCTTTAGTGTCGTTTTTACTATTTCCTTCTCAATCCCTTTAGTTCCCCATCTTTTGGCTGTGGCCACAAGAGGACACTTCTTGGGTTTGGTCACCTTGTTTGTCTTGAGTTCAGCTTTTTGATTTTAGTTTTCTGCCTATATATTTTGTCTTAGGCAAATGTTTCTTACATAATGATGGACAAAAATCATTGCTCAGTCGTTCCTGACATTATTTTTACACATTTATTAAGTACCTCAAACTTCTGTTTGCTAATGCAGATAAGAGCTGGTAATTTCTTACTGTAGTCATGGCATGCATTTGGGATGGCTTAATTCCTCTGTGGGGAAATGTAATGATGAGAAATGACATGCAGGTTCTCAGGTTCTGATGCCTGACAGTTCCCACCATTCTAGAAATGAGATTTACATCGGGTGGGATGAGCATTTAGACCTCACTTCTGCAGCTATGCCTATTAGATGTTTGTTGGGTTACGGGATGTCAATGATATAGAATCTGCGTGTACTGGGCTTTAAATAGGAGCATTCCAGACAGAGCATGTGTTTGAGTCAGAAGTACATCTAATTGCTGTTGATATCATTAAAGGTTGTAGGCATATGCTGCTGCAGCTTTGAGCACAATGAAAATCAGCCTCTGTTCCTTCACAGGTTTTTCTGCTTACATTTTGAAGGATAAAAATGCATCCGTGACCTTCAGTGTTCAGATCACTCAAGCAGCATCTGGCCAGCTGGATGCAGGCTCTCAGTGCAGAGGAAAACACCCCCTTGCTTAAACTGGGGGAAGTCAGCTTGTGAATGAATTTCTGGCCAGTTTTAGAATTCACACTTGTAAATATTGAGTAGCTGGGAGCTCTCGAGTACAGCTGTGGTTTGCAGCACTGGTTACTTGGGAATAAATTGCATTCCCACTGCTTT